GATAAAACTCAGGATATGAGTCATCCTCAGGCAGACTGCTCTCCCGCTGAGAGTCCATGAATGCAAACATGTTATGTGCTTCTAAACTACAATGAAGGAACAAGCATAGGACAGATGTTCCCATTCCAAAAAGGAATTACAGAAAAGAAGACAGGAGTGGAGGGTCCCTAGTTAATCTAAAACCTTCAGGCTCAAGAATAACCTTTGCCTCAGTTCGCTATTTCCCGGCCTGCTGGCGTGGCAGTCTCACCTCACAGCTTTCCAGCAGCCACCCCTTTCAGTCCACAGGGGCTGGAGTCACATGCCAGTGGTTCTCCTGAGCTGGATTTACATGCCCTTGGCTCGGACAGTCTGGGATCTCAGGCACGGCCCCACCCTTGTGGTTCTTCTTGGCACTGACTATGGAGGCTCTCTGCAGTGGACCCACCCCTGAAGCTGATCTTTGACTGTGGGCATCCTTTAGAATCTAGGGAAAGCAGCCACACTCCAGTGTTGCTGGGCAAGAGGTGTGTGCCCCACGAGAGGTGTGTGCTTCATAAGAGGAGTAAAACCAGAGACAGCAAAGAAGGTGCTGAGCAGGAGGTGGGGCAGGGATGGCCCCTTCTTTGAAATCATCCTGGTGCCTAGCCCTGGAACTCTAGACTTGAGATGAGTAGGGCAGCCCCAGAGGTCCCAAAATACCTCTAGTGTCAAAATGACAGGGTCTCGGGCAATACGGCCTGGCTTCCACTGAGACGGCCAGTCCATACCAGTGGTTGCTTGGCTACAGTGTTCTCTCCTGAGCACACTTTCTCAGTCTATAGACACCATTTGGGATAACTTAGATATTCTCTAAGAAAATCCTCCTCTTCTCCTCCTGAGCTCTCCTGAGAATCACTGCTAGTGGTCCACTCATGGCAATGCAGGCTTTGTCTAGCATGCACCTCAAAAATCTTTCAGTTCTCAGCTATCTACCCAGTTCCCAAACCATCTCCACTTATTTTTAGACATGTGTTTTATCAGCACTTTTGCTAGTTAGAATACATTTTTGTCTGAGTTAGTTTGGGTTGCCATAACCAATTGTCACAGACTGGGTAGTATGTAAACAGGACAGATGTCAACATGTGGATTTTAGAAGGACATAAATATCCAGACCATAGATGGTCTAAGGTAGTCTACTCACTGATTTCACTTCTCCAGTCTTGTGTGTGTGTGTGTGTGTGTGTGTGTGTATGCATGTGCATCTAGTAAAGACTATATAATAAGTATAAATATATATACATATATATATATATATATATATAAAATATACACCAGGTACATATAATTATACATATTACATGAATTTTGTAACTATATATCTTACATATAATCTCTATATTAGATATATATAATATTTCATATGGAAATAATTTATATACCTACCAGCAGCAACATACATGTGATTCACAGGCCTTTCTATTCCACAAGTATCAAATAAAGTAATGTTATTTGGAGAACTCAAAACTCTCTGAATAGAGTTATCTTGTTTCCACTTAAAATGATTCTAGACAAACAATTTCTACTTGTAGTATTGGTGGAAGGACACTTCTTACTGTTTTCAACTTATCTGGAATATCTTGATTTCAGTGACTAAAGACAGTGCATGCCCACATACTTCACCACTGGAGAGTTTTGACCTTTGCAATATGCTAGAATTCTGCACAATTTTAACTAATTCAGAAGCAAATGAACAGAACCCAACATCGCGACCAAACTGTGTAGGCAAAGCCCGTCTGTTTGGGCTACTAGAACAAAATTCCCGTGGTAGCATCTAAACAAGAGAGATGCATTTCTTGCCGTTCTAGAGGCTGTGAAGTCCAAGACTAAGGCTCCAGCAGAGCTAGGGGCTGGTGAAGGTCCATTTCCTGGCTGTGGATGGAACTTTCTAGCTATGTCTTCACCTAGCGGAAGGGCAGAGCAGCTCTCTGGGGTCACTTTATACGGACACCGATCTCATTCATGAGGGTTCTGACCTCGTAATCTAACTATCAGCCGAAGGGCTCGCCTCCTAAAACCTACATTGATGATTAGACTTTCAACATATAATTTCTGTGGACACACAAACACTCAGATTGCAGCAGGTGATTTGACACAGAAGATAAACTTGTTTCAGTGGAAGCTTATTATAAATTTATAAGATAATCACAGAGAATGCCACTGTCATGGTCATCATTCAAAGAGAATAACTTGCCCGCTGGGTGGGACCATGAAAGGCTGATGTCCTTTCTTCCAATGTAGAAAGAACACTCTGTGTCTTCTGATTCCCCAATGAAAAGTCCACCCACTTCAGTGACCTCTGATCTTTTAATCATTCGAATGGAGACTCTAGCTTTTATCTCGAACAGACATACTTCTAGCGATATTTGCACAACATGATATAATCGAGCATTCCTTACATGTGCAGGTATGTGTACAGACTCTTAGAACTTAATCAGGGGCCTCAGCTATTTTCTAGACATCCCCCCATCCAATAGATGTTTCCCATACAGTATTCATGCCATGTGATAATCCATTTTTAGACTGACCCGGTCTCTTTCCAGTCTACATCCTTTACAGTTATCCGTTCAATTTTTAAAAATCATACCTCCTACTAACTAGATATTTTCCTACAAATTGAACTCAAATTTCTCTACACATTTCAAACATTAATCTTACCTTCCCTTTTCCAGACATTAATCCGTATACTCACTGTGAGTCTAAGGTGATTATCACATTGTAAACAACAACAAAAATTCTCTACGGTGAGTATGTGCTCACCCTTGGCAATTACGGTGATTCTAGAAGCTTCTGCATCTTGGGTGGCCCCTTTCAGATACTCTCCTCAGTAGTAATATTCAGAAAAGGACAGCCCATGCCGTTTGGGTTTTGACCAATACTTCTTCCCATGAGATTACTATCTTCTTTATGCTGCTGCTGTACTTTCCTTAGTATAGACTAGTACATCTTAGGGTAATGTTTGCCTGTTAAACTGAAAATATTGGCTTACATTGAGTATGAATGAATTAAAGCCTCAGGAAGTCCTAGGACAGAGTTTTGTGTTGTTAGTTGATTTTTCAAAATAAGAATATGTTTTTTTTTGTTTATCCACATTACATGTCATGATGAACTTTTGATCAAAAAATTAGATCATTGTGATATTTAAAAAATCTTGTTTATATCATCTACCATATTAGCTTGCCCTTCCATAGTCTGGGCATTTAAATTAAATAGAAGTTCTTATTTCTTATTATCCAAGCCTGATAAGAATAGCGAATAAAAGAAAAAAGAGAGAAGACCCTGGAACTCCTCACCAAGGACACAATGATTTGAACTAGGTGAAGCAATCAGCCATGAACACAAAGTATGTCACTGTGCAGCCTCAATTGCTTCATGTCCACTCAAGAACATGGAGCGTGATGTCTTGTTTCATTCTTTTTTCTCTGTTACCACGCTGGAATACAGGTCTGCTGCCTCTCACATGCTAGTCAGTGACTGGCATGAAGACATCGGCAGCAACGTCTGACGTAAAGCTGGGCAGGGACTCAGCACCTGGAGGGCAGCATCCAGGATCGGCAAAGTCTACCGACAGCAGTCCTGCTGTTACCCTGGAATTCTTCAACTGGCCATTAGAGGAGAAGTTAAAGCCAAAATGAAGAATTGCCTAATAATGTTTATGAATATATATATATATTTTTTTTTTCTTTTTTTTTTTGGAGAGATTTTTGCTATAGGGCACGTGCGCTCGCCAGAAAGACAGAGAGAGACAGAGAAACAGAAAGTGAGAAATCACCCCTGGGGGGGTGGGGAGATGGCCACACTGCCATCCCTTCTCCTCCATTCTCCTCCCAGAATCTTGGGCATGCACGCACAAGTGCCCGGCATGAGTTTAAGCCACTGGGTCTAGGACGCAAACCGCGGTTGACTACATGGGAGTCCAGCGATACAGCCATTACGCTAACTGCTGGTCCCATTATTTATGAAGATTTTTAAACACTGGCTGCTGTGCTATTGAAAATGGGAGACATCCTTGAAATTTCAAAGGCATTTTCTCTTCTATTTGAACAGAAATGTATAGCTTGAAAATACAAAGTTCTGATCTTTAAGCCTGAATTTCTCAATTCTTTTTGCAGTTGCATAAGTTTATAAAACACGAAGTAGGGTTTCTAAAGAATGTTCCAAATATATCTATTAATATGACTCATTATTTGTTAGAACAAAATTTTCTAAAATGGCTGTGCTTTGCACATAACTCTGGGTCTTACCATTGTGCCCTCTAAAATATGTTTTCCGAAACTTTCACACTTACTGCCTTCTTCCAAAACTCTCTCTTTGCTTACTTTAACTAGAATTCTGTAGTCAGAAGCCCATTTGAAATAAATAGAACTGCAAGAACAAATTTCGACTACACAACATAGTATTATTAATTATGACCGATAGGCTGTGCATTACATCTCAATAAACGCATTTAGCCTATATAACTGAACATTGTACCCTGTGACTTTTTATTCCTGTTTTCCCAACCCCCAGGCCGTGGCAACAATGATTCTGCTCACTATTACTATAAATGCAACGTTTTTGATTCTACATGAAAGAGAAAATGGGGGGGGGGGGGACTCACTGAAGAGCATCTACCAAATATCTGTATGCAGTGTTTAGTTTTTCAGTATTTAAACTCCTACTTCATCAGAAGCCGCTATAGTAATTCCACATGCCTTGTAGTAGCTAAAGCAAACACACAGGACTCATCCTTTCCTACCAGAGTGGCGTGAACTGCCTGAAGCCAAGCTCCGATGCACACGCTAGAAGTAAGTAATCATAATGTAGTATGTAACTCTGTCCCTGGATCAAAATGAAGGGACGGAATTTCAGTGATTTCAACCTCTTATTAGGGAACACCCCACTGTGCTCAAACCGCATGAAGAAAACACCATCGGCAGCTCGGGGGACTTGCAGCCCATGCCACCCTTGAAGGACACACAGTCCAGCGCAGGGACTCTTACGTTCTTGAAAGGATGTGAAGAGCATCTGAAATCGGCTGTTGCGGCTGCCCTCGTCTGCCCACATGCGGATCACCCCGAGGCCTGTGCGCAACATCACGTCGTTGGCCACGGTGCTACAGAACTTGGCCTTCAGATCCTCCACGGAACTGCTGCCGTCATACACGGCCACAAAATTCCTTTTGCATTCATTTGAATTCTGCATCTCATAGTCCAAGAACCGTAAGTAAATCTGCAAAACAAAGATAACATCAGTTCCCCGAGTCGGAGTGAGTGTAGATCCCTAAGTAGCAGGACTTCCTTTCTGTTTCTCAGCCTCACAAAACAGTCTTGATTGCAATCAACTTTATTATCCTCCCCCGAGGAAGCAGGAAGATGTACAAGTAAAAACAAATTGTGCCTCATTTTTTTTTTCAAATGTTATTATCCTTTCTTTACTTAAATGCACCATGGCCCAGGGCTGAGTATTTTTACCCAAATGATCCTTACATCTTCCCGTAACTTATTTGGAATCAGTTAGTAGTTTTGTGAACTTATTGTTTTATTTTCACTTGCAAAATGTACTTCAAATATTGCTAAAGTTCCTCAGCTTCTTCTCACTTTAAAAAATGTGTACAAATAAATTATTTGTATTTCTACCAAGGGCAAATACAATAAGGCATCAAAAGACGGTCTCTGATTTCAGTTTGTTTAAATTACTTAATGTAACTAGGCTGCTTCAATTTTGAGGCAGAAGATTTTTTTTAAGAAGACTAAGTAAGTCTGAATAAATAAAAATTAAACTAACGTTTAGTGAATAAAAAAGTCCTGTTCAATCTACTTTATATGTCAACATTTAGTAAATAAAAAGTCCTGTTCAATCTACTTTATATGTTATGTCTTAATGCCTCCAGCAACTCTGTAAAGTGCCCATTGTATTGCCATATTCAGATGAGGAACGTGATTCAGATGGTATAAATTGGAAATTAGCACAAAGTCCCTCTTCAGCCCTAGCCTGCAATCCCTCCACAGCATTACACTGCTTCGAACGGACTGTTTCTTGATTAACAGACATTATTTGACTCAGTACCAACATGCATTCAAAATCACAAGTAATGAATTCAACCAAAGATAAAGTCTATAAAGAAGCTGTTTGTCCATTCATCTATCAATTCAGCAACCCGCAGCCTGTCTGCTTTGTCACATACATTATTCAAAGCATTGTGGATACAATCGTAAACAAAAGAATGAGAGGCACTGCTGAAAATATGTGTCAATTAAATCATGACCCCAATGTATACACCATCCAGATATAATGTCAAACTGTGGGAATTATATAAAGCACCCCCCCAACTATGCACCATGAGAGGAATATCTGGAACAGTTCTGGAATAAAGAAAGTATCCTTCACATAAATATCTCCTAAGTGTTTTACATTATGTAGTGTGTGTGTGTGTGTGTGTGTGTGTGTGTGTGTGTGTATCTCTCTCTAAATGTATATATATATATATATGTGTGTGTGTATGTATATATATCATATATATATACATACACACAGCCTATTTGTGTTAAAAAGGCTATTTCTTCTTAAATTCACTCTTGTATTATAATATGTTATAAATCAAAGCAGGTACTCAGTTAAAAAATCATCTCTTTCATTGCTCCTATATGCATTTTTTTCTTATTTCACAAACCATGAGTTTCATAAGACAGATATTTAGCGGATCCTGTATGTCTCCCTTAAATCTAAAACTGTCAATAGTTCAATAAATAGAAATGCACCTTTTGCCCTTGATACTATTATTACATTGGGTACTAGTCTCTGTCAATTTCCTCTTCAAAACAGTTGTTTCCCATTTCCAATGACACCTTTATGATGCTTTAATGCTCTCCTAACTAGCTTGAATGTTTGCAAGGTATCAACTCTCCTATCCATCCTCAAAACTAAACCCAGACACTGTTACACTTCCAAGAAACAAATCTGATCATCACAAGCCTTTAGTCAAGAACGTTAACTGATATATAATTTTATAAAAGGTTAGAAATTATAAGCTGGGAAATGCCCCTCCTATCTCCCAACATTACACATTTATTTTTAAGATGCCATCCCTAACACACATGACATTTGTTTCTCACGAAGTAACCATTCTCCATCTTTGGCCCAAGAACTGCGTCTGATTCGTCGATGTTGGCATCAGTGTTGCAGGCCACGAGAAAGGGTCTGCATTTCTGCATGTTGCGGCCACGACAGAGAAGCTCTATGCTAAAAATATCGTGTGAACATTTTAAGTTGTAGCTACAGATGCTATGTTTCCTCTACCAAACTGGATAGTTTATGTTGCTTCTGTTAAACTGTTCCTGAGGAGCTGAGACAGGTACTTATCTTTACATTGTGAGCAGCAAACCAGTTTTTCATGTATTAAACACTCCACAAAAGTTGGTAAATAGATATACCTGCAATAACTAATTGGAAATTCTATTTTATTTACTGGCACCCTTTGTTCAGACTTCATCAAATATTTATTAGACACCTATATGCTGCAAATACTGATAATTATAGGGAATAATGGACATATTATTTACGATAAGAAACTATATGCAATAATTCTCAAAGCAAGTTACACTATAGGTATAAGCCCTGACATAAAAGAATAAGACAGTATGCTGCAGAGCTGTAAGAGGCTGAAAATACAGTGAAAAGATCCAAGTAGGAAATCCCCATAGAAGTTTCAGGAGAGAGAACTAAAACAGAGGAATATGGGGAAGTAAATGAAGTTGGACAAGAATGGGAAGTGCTGGACTTTTAATCTGCTTCATCTGGTAAGAAGGTCTTTGTGCCCAGGCAGTATACACCAACTCAGTGGGAAGCTATCCTAAGAGTTCCAAATACTTTGATGCTGATTTTAAATGAACACAGTCATTGACAGTCATGAAACATATGCTCCAAGAAAGCCTCCATTTCCTTTATACCCAGGTTATTGCATTAGCTTAGTCTATGAAGAATTCAAATATCACTCACATAGTTCATCTGTGACCTACTCTTCCACAGGATTGCATTCCTAAAATGATCCAAAGAATCCCAGAAATGTCCAGATGAAGGAGACCTGTATCTAAAATTTTAAACCTTCCAAGTTTTTACATCAACAGTTTTTTTTTTTTAAGGTTCATGTTCTTTTTTTTTTTTTTTTTTTTTCTAGGGGAGAAAGTTTTCAG